CCCGGAACGGGAGGGGGGGTGGCGGGGGCCGGAAATATCTGGAACTGCTTCTCCTTTTTGCCCCCTTTATTTTTCCCTTTTTTTTCCCCTTCCGTATCCCCGCTCTGCACAGAGTGCTCCTGAAGAGAGATTGCACCAATGGATTTCACCAAGGAAAATGGGAAATTTCCCTCTATTTTCCCTTCCCTTCCAGAGTGCAAACCCCATAATAGCTTGTCCCCTTAATGACGGGCTTCCCATAATTAGCACATCCCGCATAGACTGCGAGTCTCTGCTAGAGACGTGGGCACGCAGATGCTTGACGTGGGGTCTTATTTTGGGGAAAACCTGCTGAAGGATGCGCTGCGCGCCTTCACTTCGGGCACGGAGCATCGACGGTGGTGGGTGGTGGAAGACAGAAAGGGGGGGAGGCATGGAGAAGGTACAAAACGGCCCCACCAGCTCCTTCCACCATCGGCTGCGATGTTTTTTTTCCCCTTGTGCATCTTGCGCAACGCATTTATGAGTAAATTACGCTGAGCCTCCGCGAGAAGAATCCGGGATTTTACTACCAATGTAAATAAAGAGGCGGGAGGGGGAAAGGGCGGCGGAGGATGCGCCCCCGCGCAAGTGTATAGGTTTACTCGCCTTTTGTTTTGCATTGTTGATTTTTCCTGCCTTTAATTGCTTTAATTTCTTTTATGCACGCTTTGATGCTAAACACTATTTGGGGCTGATGAAAGAGTTACAGTCCACAGGAAAGTAATTGAAGGGCAGAGGGAGAATCGAGACAAAATAAAATCCTAAAGGCACGGCGAAATAGGTCGAGTTTCTGCAAATTAGTTACAAGAAGAAGAGAATTAAAACCAGAGGCGGAAAGACTATTTGGGCTGATTCTGGCTTCTTTACTTTCCTCTTTTACGGTCTTACCTTCTTCAGTCATAGCGCCAGCGCAGTCGCAGGGGCAGAAGGGAGACCATCCCTCCTTGAGAGCCCCGAATGTCGCTTTTATATTAGTATATTCGCCAGATGTATTGGAAAGGCACCAAAATTTTCCAAAGAGTGACTGTCCTAAAATAAGAGAGAAGTTTAGGATGATAGATCGAGACAAGTATTAATCTAAAAGGTTCTTTAAGTACATTTATTTGAGATGGGAAAAAGCCATTCCAAAAGCCCGTGTGTTATTTTAAATAAGAAAACCAAGAACAAACCCAACGCGGTGGTAGATTATTGGAGATTTCCTTTTTATTTCGAATAATAATAATCACAGACAAAGGGGTAAAAAAAAAAAAGCAACGCGTCGCCATTAAATAATTTGCTACTTTGATATACAACATTTTACGTAGCACAATATTAATTCATCTTCTTTTGTGTTTTTTTGTTTTCGTAGAGACTTGAACAACGAAGAAATCCAGGTAAAAATATACACAGAGGAAAGAGCATAGCGAGGAGAAAAGAACCGCGGAGGTTGCAGGGAGAAGGAGTAACCATCATTCCTATTATGTACAGGACTCTATATGCTAAGTAGAATTTGTATTCAGACTTTTCAGGTCACATTTTCTAAATTAAAGGTGCTAAACACGACCACGTTACTTCATACCGAAAATACACAGCGAAGTACAAACGGAGCTTTACAAATTACTTGGACTATAGGAAGACTCACATAGAAAAGTGTGTCTATTCTGACTCTAAAGCCACAGGAATAGGTAGATCGTCATTCTATTGTACAAAAAAAAAAGAAGACTTTAATATAGGTAGTATTTTTTTCAGTGTCATGAAACACAACGTATCATTCCTAGGGTTTTTAATTATTTATGCACTTATCATTTATCTATTTTAATATATAGTCTTTTTTTCTGTGTTTTTCCCCCCTCTTTCCTTCTCGCGTGGGTTTCCACGTTTCCTGCCTCCATCTCTCGCCCCTTTCACTCTTCCTCGTCGTCCTCCGCATCTGGTTTCTCCTGGCTGTTGGAGCCGGAGCAGGCAGTTTTATTTTCCTTTTTCCACTTCATGCGCCTGTTCTGGAACCAGATTTTGATCTGTCTCTCGGTGAGACACAGGGCATGGGCGATCTCGATGCGTCTCCTCCTCGTCAGGTACCGGTTGTAGTGGAATTCCTTCTCCAGCTCCAGGGTCTGGTACCTGGTGTAAGTCTGGCGGCCGCGTTTTCTGTCGGTGCCTGCGAAATAAATGCAGATTCGGATCAGATAGGGAGGCTGGGAGGGATATTTTGTGGGCTTATGATCGAGTTTGCTCTCTAGTTGCTTTCTTCGGGTCCCATGGAAGGACAGAGTCCTCGGAGAAATTGTGCAACCTGGGACATCTCTTCTTTGAATTTACAAGACCGATTCCTCCTGCTCGAGGCTTTCGCCTCCCTGCTTTCAGGCCCCAAACCACCACAGCTTTAATTTCCCTTCATCTCGGAAAAGCGAGCCGTGTATTTTTGGCGTGTCTCCGAGTGAACAGCAAACTTCAGAAAGTTTCCTGCCCTTGTAGCATGGCTCAGACACTCAGCTCCTGCTCTAATTTTCATTTAGACACCACAAATTTTGCCTGGTTGGGGAATAAATACGGAACCACAGCCAAGCAGAGCCACAGACGCATCTGTTACCTACACAAATCCAACTATTTGTCCTCTCTTAAAGCTGTCATCGGGGTGCCTGCTTGGAAGGTGTGTGATGATCTTAATTATTTCTGGAGATGTTTTGGGCCCGGCAGTGACTTCTGGGGCTGACAAGGGAGCTGCTACCCCTCTTGCGGGGGGCGGGTATGTGGATGTGAAGAGCCTCAACACTCCCCCCAGGCTTCCCCTCACCCCCAGCTGCCTGCAGCAGGGTTTGGAAAGGGCCCAGCTCCTAATTCTCCCTTCCACCCGACATTTCCTGCAGCCTGATTGGAAATAATTCTACAATATGGTGTTTGTGATCCCGACTGTATGTTCTATGTAAATGCTACGTATCTCTCTAGTATAACATATTCCTTCCTCGAGCAAAGGGGATGGTGAGCAGCAGCCCTCGGCCTCTCCTCCACACATTCCACTGGACTCTTCTTCTTCCCTTCTTTTTTTGTTCTTTTTTTTCCACCCTTCTTTCTTTTTAAAAGAAGAAAAGATCCAGTCATTAAAAGGAGAGGGAAAAAAAAGGCAAAATAGCCAGGCTAGCTGTAAAGTAAAACTGTGCAGGTCGTGGAATGTGGGTTGTAAAATCCGCTGAGGGGAGAGCCATAAACTACTGCTGAATAGGGATGAAAACTCTATATCTGCT